ATCAGGACAGTTGAAACAACCACTTCTGTAGATGAGAAAAACACGAAAAGAAAGATACTCATCTAACCACATAAAGGTCAAGAGTGACATGCACCTCAAAGGAGCTTGACAATCATAACTTTTTATAAAATCTCACAAAAATCTTTCAAAAACCTGCGTTTGATTTTAGCTAGCTGCAATATACAGCACTGGGCGTTCAGATAGCATATGAGTTATATACTGTTAGTGCATATGTGTAGATTTTGAGACTCAGCAGTAGCATGTTCAGGCTTGCTGGGAGAGCTAAGGGCAAAAAATCTGTCACTTTTTGTCTCTATTGCAGCCCACTGAGTCCACTGTAGAGCGAGGCCATAGAGATGCAGCAGATAGATCTCGGTGGGTGAAGACGGAAACTGTTCGGATGCATTTGACGTTCATGGATGCCAGCAATCATCATGTCACTGTGTCACGAGGAATTCCCCCCAGTCAGCTTTTAGCCGGAGGGTAGGGAACACACAACAACACAAGTAAGATGTAGAGATATTTGTTCCTAACGTGACTTATGCCACAGCAGAGCAGCTGACCTCAGACGGCTTTAATACTTATGTGACTGTAAGTGGGATTGTAGGGAAATTGAAACTAGCTTGGGCGCCAAAATGGCTGGTGCTGTCTCCTATTTACAAAGCACACAATGCAATCATTTTAAGCTTTTTAAGTCCTTTCATATTGGAAAACGGAACAATAATAATAAGGTATATGTGAAGATGTCAGAATGCACACTAAATGTATTGATCATGCAGAATCATTTCTGCTAATTAGACCTCTTTCCTGGATTGTGATTGCATGTACAATCTGTGCTTCATTGGGTACACTCCAGTACACTAGACTAGTTAACACATGCATTTAAAGTGGCTAGTTTTGTTTAGCTTTGCTATGTAACAAGCAGCGCACTTTCGTGGCTAAATGGAGCACAGCCATTGACATTTCCCTCACTCGCTTGTAAGCTTTTTTTCACCTGAGCAACATACACAAGCATTATTATTTGTACAGCCAGAATAACTGAAACACCCATGTAGGTTTGAAGTTAAAACTAATTTTGGATAATGGTGAGACATTACATTTCTTGGAGTGCTTCATAATTTCATTGATGATTGCATGTCTGGTATAATTTCTATTAAAGTGTATTTATTTCCTGTATACTAACAACCAAGACAGAGTACACTATGGATATTTGTACATCTCATAGCTTTAACTGGAATGCAGCCTGGGTTTAAATGTTTTAGCACCATGACAAGAGATAAGACGGAAGAAAATAATACTTAAAAATACTTTACAGTATTAAGTGGGAAAAAGCGTGGGTTTATACGTTTCAGCACAATGGAGAGAGACATAAAAGCATGCTAAATCTATTTTTTCACTTTTTTGCATGAATTTCGGTGTTAATTGACACTTTCTTCCCACAGTGCTATTCAGAGAGAAAATGGAAGAGCTACTCACAGCTGCAAAACATTAAAACCTATTTTCAATAGTGGTGATGCAGCTCATCTTATTAAACATTTTGCTTTCTCTTCTCAGTTTCTACATTTTAAATTGGCAGGTGCAGCCCAAAAATCATGGATAAATGTTTTTACGTCTAGTATCATTTACTGCAAAGTGCATTTATTTCTTGTATATTAACTGACAAAACAATGCAGATTTTTCTTTATAGTATTAATTGGGACATCGTCTGGGTTTGAATGCTTCAGTACCGTAGAGAGAGACAGCAGAAGAAAGATTCTTCACGTGTGCTCTGCAGGACTTCAACATCTGTGTTCATGTGGAGTGCTTTTAGAGAAATATCTTCACGCTCGTAACTCTGAATTGCGTAGAGGCGCTGCACTCGCGCCATTCAGAATAGCATTGCATGCACTGCTATTTAGTAATGATTGCTGTGCTCACAATCGTAGATGTGATCTCATAAACTCCTATTCATATCTGATAGGGTAATGGAGCATCCACTTTTTTCACTCAGCGGCGGGGGGAGGAACGTGCTGCCAGCTGTGTTATTATAGAATTTTTGCATTCTTTCATCAGCTGTTTTTCATCCATATGCACAGAGAGACAGTCTCATCTTCTGTGGTGGCATTGACCTTTGACACTTGTGTATCATTGAGTGCACAGATTAGTCATCACCAGTGGATCTGAGCAGCTGAGGTGGATCTGTGCAGTCACAGTTTGATGTGATTATTCCACTGACCTCTTTTCCAGTGACCACTGCCAAGAAAACCATGATTTTCAAACATCCACAACGACATGTTCTGCTTCTTGGACTGTAGATGATCTCAGTAAACAAAGCCAGTGATTGTTGAAACACCAACATATTTGAATGCAACTCCTCCAGTAACACAGCAATATAAGCTCACCTACAGATGTGATTTCTGGAACTGAGGTGCAATCAACCTCCAAATAATAACACTTTAATGAAATGTTTTCGAACAGGAAGATAGATCCTTTTGCGGAGGTCATTCCTCAACTCCAAATCATTATGTGGCTGATTCATTTCCCCACCATGTTAATATAAAAAGCACCAGCTTGGGAGGATGAGACTGAGGGTGTCCTTAATTGTCAATTAAGCATGTATCTCCCAATCATACTCCTGCCACATGACTTACAGATTGAGTGATAACAATGAGGGCAGGATTGCTTCGCTGCGATGTCAGTTTGAATCGAACTCTGGAGTAATGAAAATACTTTCGATTATGTTTGCTTTCTCAACCAAATACAAGCAATCACACGTGAAGAGACTCAAATCATTTGCAGTTAGGTAAAAAATAAATCTGTAACACTGTTATGGATATGGTAGAGCGCTCAGTGATGGTTTTTGGCTCTGACTGGTGATAGTCCTAGTTGCAACTAGGTTTTAATGACTGATGTGTTTTTCTGCTTATTCGCTGATTAAAACATCCATAATGCCAAATATCAAACTAATGAAAGATTTAAAGAGCAACAGCACATTAGCCACCATTAATCAGGCAAAGGGAGCTCATCATCACTTGCTGTTGACTTTTTGTCTTTACTATCATGGAACAAAAGACAGAGAAGCACAAAACGTTCCATTAACTACTGTTGCTATATTTTCAGTTATGTTAGATCATAAAATCAGGTTTAAGAGTTAAGATTATATATGTAAAGGAAAGATATTAAACATCTATCCAAACAGACAGGCCTTCACAAACAGCCAGCATCATCTTAACAATAGGAAAGCAAATAAAGAAACCACCTAGGTCCCTCAGCAGCCAGATGGATTTTAAGAAGAGGCTGGGACAGACGAGACAGATTATTGGTTTGATGTTTAGGTTGATGAATGCAGTCGAGAGAAAAAAGGCAGACTGATAACCTGTCCTGTTGATGCAGAGGAGACACAATAATCTTTAAATCAGCTCTGGACTTTCTTTCTTCAAGTATTGAGTTTTTATCCTGCACATACATTTTGTTTGTTACAGCTAATGTTCATTAACACAAGAGTGAACAGTCTGGGGGATATTATTTTCTCTAGGTAATGCCCTAAACTCAGATTGTTGGTTTTATTGAGTCCTGCTGAAATGTCTATGAAGACAATATCTTCATAGCTGAAGCAACACTCTAGCCTCCCTCAGATCAGACAGACAACATTTAATGGCTTAAATTAAGTGGCGTTATAATGAAGGAAGTCTGCAAGGTAGTTCTGTCAACAAAGGTCTGCAGGGCATCCATCTCAACGCTAGTGTCCACCCGTAGATTCTCATATTATCATCCCTTATCGCTGCTGTGTAGAGCTTGAACGCTTTCTTGTAGGGAGCGAACAGAGCCTTGTCAAATATCCACTGTGTACATATTCTATATCCACATTATAATAAAACCCACATTATAATAACTAACTAAACATCCATCATGCACTACTCTCTTTAATCAACTCATACTAACATTTTTAAAATTCTGTAACACCAAACATGTTGCACTTTGCTGCACCTCTACCTCCTCCCCAGGGTCCCCTTGTAGGAGTCTATATTTCCTCAGGGGGGAATTTATTATTGTCACTCTCCAGTCTCTGCTGGGAGAGCTTGGTGTCAGAGCCTAAATATACACTCCACATGAATTCCTCATTCACATATTCCTGTTGTGCACTTAACGTCCATCATGCACTGCTCCCTTTGATCGTCTGATATTTTTAACTGTGTAATATACTGACCCCCAGGGATATATGCACTCTTTACACTGTACCTTAGTTGCAAAGTTGCAGAGAAATAAATCAAAAGCCTGTCTCTTGCTTGTATGCAGTATTGTCCAGTCATGATCATTCTAAAAAGATGTTTTAAGATGCATAGGAATGCGCTACTGCTGTGTCTTTGTAATTCCTCCCAATAGGTGTCACAAAGATCTAACAAGTTCTAAAAAGATAAGGCTCAAGATGACGTCCTTTACAGACAAAACTAATTCTGACTGAGCAAAACAAATGTGAATAAAAAACATTTCACAGTCAACTGCCACAAAAACAACCCACTGCAAAGTGGCATGCACAATAGAAATCCATGCTTGCACAGCATACTGTAGCTGCATCCCATGCCACTTAACATATTCTGGTCTGCTCAAGTTGTGTGTCTCAAGAACTTTGACATACTTTTTACAAGTTGCTGCCTGGTAAATGTTAAAATCAAACTGTGCTTACATTCACTAGTGGATCAGTTAAAGCATTCAGCAGGGAATCTCTCTAAAACAGTGTGACAACAAACACAGTCACTTCAGCATTTAGGAGCCAAGGGAAGTTCTAAACTAAAAGTCTGAGAGATGCCTGAGGCATCTTGTGTTCCCGAGAGAGACAATCCATTCCTCTAGCAAAGCACTGGCTTTAACAAAACATTCTGTATTTCAAGGGGAAAGTTTTTGCGAAGTGCTGTATAGACTGTATCTTACTGGCCCTTCATGAGTGCCTAATAGCATCTGCAATACAAGCAATGTAGAAATTCTCACTAAAGACAGAAAAAGCAAAAGCAAACAACACTCACCAAGAGGCTGTCCAGCGATGATACGGGCGTTTTCTCCCGCCACAGCTGCTCGGGCGTTCCTCTCGTTCAAATACTGTACGAAGGCGTAACCCTTGTGCACAGAGCAACCCACTATCTTGCCGTACTTGGCAAAGATGACCTCTATGTCGGTCTTCTTGACGATGGCTGTGTTGAGGTTGCCGATAAAGACTCTGGAATTGAGGGAGCGTGGGTCATTCTTGTTGGTGACGTTGCTGGTCTGGGTTTTACCAGTCATTCTCCACCAGTTGCCCTCCTGGGACACAGACAGAGGGGGGAGGGGAGGACATGGCTTTAGAGGTTTTGGACAGGCCAACTCCAGCTAACTCTACTAAAGGCTATGGAACCCCAAAGTCTACAATGTTAAATCAATAAATAAGACATTAAACCTCTAAACCATCAAATAATTTAGAGGACCAGTGAATAAACTGAATACAGCTCAGCCTTCCAAGTGTGTAGGATAAACTATGGTGGCTGTGAAAGGCTCTGTAGAGCCAGTGTTTGGTTTGAACACCAGAAACTAGAAGGAGCTCAGCTGCATTGTGATTTCAAAGCTGTTTCTCAGAAAAATCACTGAAGAGAACTCTGATAAGGAAAGATAGTCTTTCTCTGTGGTTTCTCTAGCCAACAGGAATTAGCTAGTTAGCTCGCTGGCAGTTGCCAAGCTTGCTGAGAGATTGGGTAGATGTGTTTGGCTGTAAAAAGAGACCATTACAATGGTCACTGTAAAAATAAAAAAATAAAAATTAATAAAAATCTAATTAGGCAAAACCTGATTAATTATTTTGTAAAATAAATTATATAATAAAATAAAATATGAAAATAAGAAAAACATAAAATAAAACATTTCAAGTTTTAATATACTTGTTTAATTACTTAACAATGTATTGGCTTATTTATTTTATTATATTTATTTATATAGGCTACATGTTATTCTACTTGCTCATATATTTATTTCATAATGTCTTATTTATTCATTAAATAATGTCATATTCATTCACTTTAGGGCTCCATAAAACACAAGGTTTGTATTTAAATTTGCTGTTCAAATCAACATCAATAGATCTAAATTGATTTTTTGGTTTATGAAGGCTTTTGTTGATGAAGGTATACCTCATTTAATTCAAGGTCACTGGCCAGTCAACTGCTTACCTAAGCCACATTTTTTGCATAGTTGAAATGCTACCACCGGATGGCTGAGTGAGAGAATTGGAAGGAGCAACAATATGTGAATGTCGCAGCAGTTTCCTCTGCTTTGTGAGAAAGCAAATACAGTAGCTGTCAGTGGGAAAGCTTTGCTATCTCAATACCCATATTGTTGCATCCCAAATGCTTTGTGTGCCGTTTCACTGATCACAGAATGCGTGGGCTGTAATTCATGTTACAGTTTTATTCAGACTTTTTGTGCTGTCAAGTTATCAGCGTACATTAGCCTCAGCTTTTGTAGGCCTCCCCTGCAATTATTTCTAAGTGACCTTTTCATAACCTGAATGTTAGTTTTTATGGAAGACGACTTTCTGCATGATCAGGGAAATTATATCTCCCAAGGAAAGGATGCACTATTGAACAATTAAAGTTCTATATTTAATCATAGTTAACATAAAGTCTACAGATATTTAGATAGCTCCCACATATTTCTCTGTGCTTTTTCCATTGATTTTCTTTGTATGCACTCATGTCATTTATTTCTTACAGCTGTAGAAATCCAGGTTTTCATTACAGTTTATATTCCAAAATGGATTACACTTAGTCCATTAAATACTGTGAAATATTGTGAAGAAAACACTGAATATTCAATTTTTGCCTCTTCTGAGTCTCTGTCCCTGACATATGGTGATAACAACTATTCAGCTTTGAGACGAAGAACCTGAATAATGGATCCAATCCTCAGTAAATAGGATTAGTAACCAAGGTAACACTGATGTTGTTGGAATATTGTGTAGATACACACATATGCACACACATTATGTCAGTGGCAGTCTTTTTCCTTTATCCAACTTAATTTTCCGTTGCAAGAGGCTGCAGATTACAGCTCAGCCTCCCTGATTTGACACCGTGTGGCCTCAATATCTTCACAATTACACGATGTAGCTTTATTGTGAAGTGCTATACTATAATGGGTTCGTTCAACTAATTATAGCATGGTATGAGATTATGTCAAAAATACAGTGAGAGGATGTAATTCACAAACTGAGTGATGGTTAAATTCCGTCGTAAGGTCAGTTGTTCTGTACTGTAGTAGATGAAGGAGGAAACTGTCCAGTCATCCAGGAAATACAAGAGCAGCCATGTGATTTACAGTGAAGAGATTCTCTGTCAGGCATCCATTACACCTGAGACCATGCTAGACATTCAACTGCTCATGGATAAACACATATTATTTCACTTGGCAGCACATGTTTTTAGCATTACATCACCTACACAATAATGCTACTCGCTTTCCAATGACTATTTGACACCCACTATGGGTGGATGGCGATTCACGGCTCATACGGGCTCGCTGTTTACAGTGCCGCATCGATGGTGTGTGTTGTTTCTGCGTGTGGGTGTGTGTGGGAATAAACTGCTGCTCGCCATCTCTCAAGTGGCCTTGACATTTATCAGCAGCAGATACTGAAAATTAATGTGGCGAAGGCACACACACACACATGCATGTGCTAACTCAAATGAGCTCCACAATGACCACCTAACGGCAGTTTAAACCCACAATCTGACACCCATCCCATATTGATGTTCGTGGACAGGTCGTGGGGAACGTGACAAATCAGTGGAGAAGCGTTAGATTGCCTCTGTCGTCAGATAAATCAGGATCGGGTAACGGTCACAGAGCCCTTTTACCGCTTTTTACTGTTATATTTCATGTTGTCTTGTCTGTTGTTTTCTTTGGACCAGGACACTAATTTATTCCATCAGTGGTTTTCCTGCTGACCTTGCCGTTTAGTTTATTTACAACCTCCATTAAGCTTCTCATCCTATCAGGTGATAGCGTCACGAGGAGTAACATGGGAAAACAACACAGGAAGTGATAGGCAGCGGGAGTGTAATTGGCAAAATAATTGTTCCGAGTGACTTGACATTTGTTATCAAAAAAGAGCTTCATTCCAGAAATGCGGTCTACAAACTGCTTTTAGAGCAGCCTGGTGTTCAAAGCACGCTCTTTAAAAATGATTACAGCTTCTACAGTACTGCCTTTTTGTCAGTAAAGAGCTGAAGACAGATAAGTCTTCATTTTCACTTTCATGCCAGCGTGGTCGTGTCAGAATAGGTGTCACATTTTTCAAAAGGTGATGTCTCCTTTTGGAATGAAACACTGCTCTTGTGGCATTACAGAAAATCCTGGGAAGCCTTGCCTCTAATACGGTACTAAAAAGCATCACAATCTCATGTCAATGATAAAGAAATAAGGATAAGGTCATTGGAAAAAGCACCAAGGTCATGTGCTTGACAGCACTGCCGTGTTGGGAAAGTGGTTGAGTGAAAAAAAAAGAAAGAATTTAATACAAAAGTAGCCATATTACTGAGTTGTACCTCGCTCTGAAATGCATTGTGCTTCGGTAGACAGGCTCTTAAAAGGTTGTTGTTTGGGTCTGGCCACCTGCCTGATTTATAGACATTTTTTCATGGAGGGAGGGAACTCATTGAATTGATTCCTTTTGTAATTTCCTACCACTCCACTATTGTACATTTCTCTTCGCCATGCCTCAGCCACTCCGCTCTGATTGTTGCCAAGGCAGCTTGACGGGCTGAGGAAAGGCTGGAGAAGCTGCTCAGTGAAACAGAACAGAGGAAGGTAGCCTGATACACCTTTTTCAATGGTGTTGCTGCCATGTACTGCAGAGGTGGAATAATTGCTTCATAGATTCCTTCCATTTATATCTTGTCTTAAAATGTGTCTCTCTGCCTGTGAAAGCAATGGGAAACACCGAGAAATAAATTCCCTCTATTTGTAAATCAATGCCACTATTTGTATTGTAGGCTGCAGAGCATTTCTGTGGTGCAACCAGCCATAAATTTGTGCACTTTTGTGAAGCGTGGTCCTTTTCTGCCCCCGCAAAGACAAACTGCAGTCACAACATTTTGCCTGGTTTGAAGGTAGAGGAATAGTTGTGGAAATGTAATTTAATATGAACAACATAATGGCCCTGAAGCAATTAAATGCCATATAAGACAATCCATGCTTCTACCTTGCCCTTGTAAAAATGTGTTTAGTCTTCAAGAGAAAGAAGCCTAATTTTCCCCACACTTCCAATCAGTTGCTGCCCTTTGGCTTTATGAGTCAAGGCACACAGTGTTGGGCCGGAATTCAACTCAGTAAGTAGACAGCTACAGCAAGGACGGTCTATAAAAGCAAGAGGAACAACTCTAATTTTGCCTGCCAAGGGTGCTTGAAGCGCTGTAAAAGCATAAATGAATTACTATGAATGGGACATTTACACAACATCACGATTTATGACTATCACAAGTCATAACTGAGGGATATTTATTTCTGAACAATACTTACGGAGAAAGACAGCAAATTCTTGAGTTAAGTGTTTAGTTTAACCTATAATGGTGTGAGGAGACATTAAGGGGTGTGTGTTTTTGTCTACTAACCACAACCATGGACCTCAAACTGTGTCAAACGTCTTTGATAGTCATCTTCCATGCTTGTTTTAGAGGAAAACGAATTAGATATCAACATGCAGTGTGAGTAGATCATCTTGTTTTTTTTTATTAAGGGAGGATGTTAGGAACAAGCCAGCAGGTGAGAATACAGTTGGACACAACATCAAGGGACGACAATGTATAGCTTTTTTCTCCCTCATGAAAATGAACTATTTATTGTCGTTGTTGTTTAACCTAATGTATTTTGTATTGTTACCTTTTGTACTGCAACCATTTGATTTTAAAATGACTACATGTGACTTATTTCCAGCTGCGGGGGGGCAGTTTTTTCAGCAAAAAAGCTCTGATAAACCAACTTTGCCCAGCACCAAGTGCGTACTGACAAAGTTAGTGATTAGCTAGCTAGCATTTAGCAGAGAGAGAGAAAGTGATATTTTTCTCACACAGTTTTAACAACAAGATTAAATCAGAGCTGGAAGGAGAGCGGACTTGTACTTACATTAGGCAGGTGGTCGAGGACACAACACGCCAAATAAATGCAAACATTTCCCTGTGTCTGCTAAGCATTCAAGTTTGCAATTGTTTGGTACCACATTGATCACATAAACTTCATTACATGATAATATGTCAGTGTAGTTTTTACAGCTATTC